TATATATATATATATATATATATATATATATATATTGGTTCACCTGGATCACCCTGATTGACTTCTAGACTACCCGAAAGAAACACGAGGGCCGAGACACTGCCAAGTTTCCGAAGACTGGATAGGAGCAGTCTAGGTAAAGGAGTCGGGTCCGAACCATGAACTTTCCGGCCAGTATGTTCGAGCCTTGACTACAATCCATATAATAATACTACTAATTGTTCAGCTGTAGCACCCTTTCGGTGCCTAGCTGCCATGCCACCTGAAGGAAGCGCGAGGGCTGAGATACTCCCAGGTTGACCACGCCTAGACAGGGGAAGCCGAGAGACGGCGGTCGGGTTCGAACCACGCACTTTCCGGTCAGTAAATTCGCGCTCTAACCACTTGAGCCATCTCGCCCCCGGGTGGGGGATCAACCTTCTGGGTGGGTCAACCACTATCCATATTCTTGGAGTCGATTGATTGCTCTACATTCGAACGTCGCCGTAAACTAATGTAAACCCACTATAGAGACCCAAGGTAAATTAAGTAGTTCTAAATACAGGACGTCTTTGAAAATGAGACTCCTTTTCCTGATGGCCCGCTCCATATAAATTCAGTTGAGTCGCCTGCGAAAACCAAAGGAGAGCATGAGGCGAATTGCGTGCAAGTTGGGCTCAATTAGAACGTAAGATTGGAAGAAACTCGGAGAATGAGGCTACCTGATGAGCCAAAAGAAACACAAAACCGGTCGTGGGTTGTCGAAGAGTCATTCCCACAGACTTATGAGTAGTGTGTTACATCTCTTCGCAATTCCACAAAGAGTATCACAAAAAGTTGTGCGGGGCACTGATCTGAAGGAGCTTATTCGCCAGTTTGCGTTTAACATTGACTAGTTCCGTGAAAAGCGCCACTAGGGCAGTAAGACCCTTGCGGCTGAGCACGGATTATTCCTTACTGAAAGGCGAAACTGTAGAGACTACCCGCAAAGAATAAGACAAGATTGATGTCCAACTTACAAAATCGTTGGACGAGTCTCTTCACCACATCTTGGTTGGTCGGCAGCTTATTTCTCTTCCCGCTTAAAGAAGCACCAACTGAAAAACGAGGCGGCCTTTGTGCAGCAAAATCAGTTAAAGAAATTCATAAGCGAGTAATTCAATTAGGCTTCCCGTGAAAATCAAGTTGTTGTCGTCGTTCTTAACTTGATTGCCAACAGCAAGACAGCGCTTTCGGCAATTTATTATTAGTCCGTCTGTGATTCTAGTTGCGTCGTGGTCTGAGGTCTTTTGATTACCCCAGTGGCATCTATTTTTGATGGTTCCTTTGATTCCTTTGGCTGGCTCTCTCCTAATTTGCAGTGGTCTGAACTTCTCGAGACTGATCGTTTGCAAATGAGTGTATTTCTCGAAAGCAGTCCAAGCGAAACAGAGAAAACGGTGAACAGGAGAACTGAGCAATTACCACATGTCAGGTTTTGAAAAACGAAAGAAGGATGGAGATCGCAGTGGTCGAACCGGGAAGAATGACCGTTCAGACAGTATCGACTTCACAACATCCACAGGGAAAGTCATCCGCAGTGGTCGAACCGGGAAGAATGACCGTTTACACGGTATCGATTTCACAACATTCATAGGGGAAAGTCATCAGACATCTCACCAGTCGCTACGGTTCACCGTCAACAGAATTCCGTATTCACGGCAGTAACATGGATGATGGGCTCGAAGTCAGGCGCGACGCTGACCAGTATGGAGACGGTGAAGCTGGTGAGACATATGGTAGATCTTACCACCTGATTCACGTTCCCACAGGCCTATCTGGAGGGATAGAGACGCCGTCCGGTGTGCGGCTGGGTTTGCTCAAACCTGGCTATACACATAAGTTAACAGCATCATAGATAGAGAATAGAGGACTGAGCAACACTGGACAAGCAAATCAAACGGCCATAAGGGTGCAATTGCACACAGACAAGGAGACAATATTTCCAGCAAATGATTCTGACAATGTTTACTCAAGTCCGCCGAATAGCCGAGCAAGTGTGGACAGTGCACTAATATACAATCTCCACTGTAACGGCTGGTGTTTCGGAGTCCGCCAGCACCTTGATTCATTGGCTGAATACCTCCTCCGATTAAACTGATATTTCCGGCTAAATCGGGTTTTCCGGCTTCTCCTATGAGTTCCTTGTCTGGTTAATTGTACGGTTTGGAGAATTGTGGATCTGATGTTCTCTTGCTCCTAGTGGTTGATAAATGGGGTCGATTTCGACATTAGTTGATAGTTTCTCTCCATTGAACGGCATATGTCGGCGAGAGGTTTGCAAGTCAGTTGCCAAGCTCGGCGGACGGAAAGAATATACTGCGATATCTCGGACATCATACAGTACAATGAAGATGGCCAAAGTGGTTAGAGAGCGAATTTACTGACCGGAAGGTCCATAGTTCGAACCCGACCTCTGCCTCTCGACCTGGCTGTATTCCAGCCCTCGTGCTTCCTCCGGGTGGCATGGCAGCTAGGCACCGAAGGGGTGTTGCAGCTGAACCATTATTTATTTATTATTATTACATTGGAGAATATCATGAACAAGGAAGTCAGCTGGGATTCAGTTAAGTGTCACACTTTAAAACCATACTGGTATGCTAATCGCTATTCATAAATGGCAGCATTCAGCGATACTACTGGAGTTTACCCACCATTCGCATCAAACCAAGGTAGTAATCCATGAAAGAACTCGTAAAAACCTCCAGTTAGCCTCCGTTACAATTCGAAAAGCAGGGAACGTCCGGTCGGTTGATATGTTTGCAAGTTTCGGCTCTGATTTGGAAATGGTGGGTAAACTTGGTTGAACTTCTACTCAAATGCTGGTTTTCATGATACAGAGCTAACGGAGGCATAATCAAGAGTGACTTTTCTAAAGAGACGACATTAAAAAGAACGTCACTAGTAAGGACTTTGAACGGACATGAACGGCAACCAACGAGAGACACATGCGAAGCAAGAAGCACCGAAGAGCTAAGAGAGATTGTCAAAGTTCCAGTTTAGCAGTGTAGCCGTTATTTTTTTGGGGCCTGAATACGGTTCGTTGTTCGGCAGCTGCGAATGACTGTAACGAGCACTTAAAAAGATGAAACACAACGGACAACAGCAGAGTGTCTAGCTAAGTCACCACAGTGAACTGATTAATACCCACTCAAACCCAACATTTTTACACAGAAGGGAGTCTGAATATGGTATGCCGTTTCTGACGTCTTTGAATGACAGTTCGTGAGTAATCTTACAATTCTGTCACCAAATTTATATGTCGACCATGTTACTAGTGCAGGCAACCGCTGTGCTTGTCTTCAGTGAGTAGCCGGTCACGTGGCATTTCTCCCTTGAGGTCTTCAGACCTACTGCGCACAGTTGGAAACCCAAAGACGTCACCAATCTACTGTATACTGAGGGTTCACATGGCGCTGCACGAGACAGCACCGAGCTAAATGACAGTTTTGTGGTGATTTATAAAATAAATTAATCAATACACTGCATAGAAAGCATCCGATGTCTACCTATGACCAGGTTTCTCATGTCGGGATGAATTAAACCGTGATCTAAAGAAGTGAGCTCGAACCAGGGAGTACGTGGTCGCCAAAACCACTTCAAGTCCCAATAACAATAAAAAAACTCAGTAGATTACCATGCACTGCGGAACAAGAAGCTGAAGGACGTTTGACGAGGTTATGCTACCAATCTATAAAACCCCAATCTTGGTTTCTGAGTCCAGCGACTTCATTCTGCCCTTTTAAACTGTGATCGATTGAGCATGTTACTGAGCTTGTCGCCTGACAATCAGGTAATTAAACAAGCCAGGAGTACGACTTAGCTAACAATATCCGGAGACAGCTATTTAGACGAAATTGGCGACAAGACTTCGACAACAGCAAACCGACAAGCTCTACAAGTTTCACGGTCAGACCGGAAATCAACAACTCAATTTCGAAACATGCTACTGAAAAAAACTTCACCACAACAAGGGGAGAATCATTCATATCTTTCGTATTCATCAGTAAATCCGATGAACTACGCGCTGACGCACTGCTAGACAAAAAAACGCAACTTTGACCTAGTATGCACTAGTGATGTCACTTTGATTGATCGAAAAACGTTCGCAACCGAATCGTCCACCCCCGGAAAACCGAACAACAGCTACCAACATACTCTTGGCCATGATCACTAGTTTCCCCACTAGTTGTATGCCACTCACACGGCATAGACTAGAAGTAGTGAGGAAAGTGTCATACTGTCAAACAGGTCAGTGCCGACGTTCTGTAAGAGAGTTATTCACATAGCCTACTACACGTAGATCGGATATACAATGTTTAGTTAGGACTTTGGAGGATCTCCGGTAGTCGATGGAGCGACCTAAATCGATCGGTAATCGGAGTGAGCTATGGTACGCGATATACGTGAACCGGGCTCGTTCCATCAGACTCTAGTCGCGCTCAGGCCTGTTTACTTTCAGGCTGTCACATATTAATTGGGCGCGAGTTAGCTATGCACGTCATTGCCGCTGTTTCCAAAAGCCGACCACAGACAACTTCGACGACCGCGCAGAACCGACTTATCTTTCTGTAGGAGAAAACCGTTGAAAAGTACGATAAAGCGAAAGGGGAACTTCGGCAGTGTTCGACCAGCAATGACATTCCGAACAAAATCTCGCTAACTACGGCGGTGAGTATTGCAAGAACTCCCCAGGTCCAGTGGTGCCATGCACGACCGTCCTCCTCTTTAAGTTCCTTGTTTCTATTATCATGAAATAGTTTGTCAGTCTCTGATGACTACTGGAACAAAATGTTCCTAGGAAGTTCGCTGCCAAGTGCACAGAAGACATACTTCTCCTTTGTCCCGACATCACACACACGCTAGCCAGGAGAAGCGGTCGAGAAAATTTGGTGTGCTGTTCACATGACAGGACAAAGCCCGACGGACGATGGATGAGCAAGTGAAACTTCACACATTGATCTGGATTGTTGGCGAAATTCGAATGTCACAGGATGGTCTGGAACACAGCCTTTTTCACCCTTCCAAGCAAAGGAGAAAACGATCGAGAAGAGGTAGCCAGTGAGTCGACAGCGAAACACGAGAGCCGCGCTGGATAGGATTCGGAGCGAACTATGGTGATGGCTAGAGGCGCTGCGAAATATGGCCCGGTCAGACTCCAGACTTTGAGCTGTTCAACTCAGAGCCCCACACTTCCGTCGACCCCTTTTTCCCATACCTGTTCCTATAGCTGTATCAACACTTCAGTTCTTGGCCTGTCACATCTCATGTAAGTTCACTCCCGCTGGTCTATTGCTGGAACCGCTGAAAAACTTGCACAACGCCTATGGCTGACGGTGGTGATAACCGTCAATGAAAAAGCAGATGTACACAGGGTGAGCATACACAACAAGTACTCGGTGAGTCTTTTTTCTATTCATGAGTAGCGATTATTCCGTGCTACTGGTTCTCAGTAATAGACTCGAAAACCGAACGATGTGAGAAATTCCAAAAAGAATCGGATCCAAAAGAACTCATACACATTGTACTCAACAGGCAGAGTTGACTGACCAAGACTGATGAGAACGCTCACACTGGATGAACGCAGGTTAGATGGAGAGAGAGATCTATAAAAGCAGCACAGTCTTCATATTTTACTTGTTATTAACAAGATCCCTGTACTAAGAAGCCCCGTTGTCACCGGATCATTGTTACACTAACTTGACAAAAAGCAGTCCAAACACCCACACAAACTTACCGAGTATGGCATCCAAACGGTCCTTCAGCTTTTTCGGGGAGATAGGTATGAACACTGGTCGATCCGCCGACTCCTCTAAGGTTCCAGTGTTCGTATCAGTTGGTGCATTGGACCAGTTTAACAACTGTCTGAGACTTTGTAAGAAGGGATTCCTGGTGGTCCGGGTGAAGCTGGTACAGGCCACTTTTTCATCCATCCCAGATAGTCCAGGGCTACTGGATTCGGCTTTGGTCAACCCAATATCAATGTCATCCACGGTGCCTGTATTTGTTGCGGAAAATAGTCGGATACGATGAACTAACTGATTAGTATCACTTGAATCACTCATAAGATCTTGTATTCGAAAAAACAGGCTAAAGCACAGTCAGGGGACGAAAACCAGAAATCGGCAACATCAGTGTTGACACTGATGCACCATTGCCGTGCAACCCCAAAGTTTATCTAAATATATTTAAAGCCTCAGAGTAAACAGAATATAAAAGAGTGGGAATGAAGAAAAACTGAAAATCCAAGGAGGAATAATCTCGGATTTACCTCGAGCTCTTTTAGGAAGCAAGCAGCCAAGATGTTTGTGATGGGTCGACTAGATCTCACCCAAAACCGTCCAGCTGTAGCACCCATTCGGTGCCTAACTGCCATGCCACCCGAAGGAGGCACGAGGGTTGGCATACTGCCAGGTTGCCCAAGCCTTAACAAGAGAAGTCGAGAGGCAGAGGGCGGGTTCGAACCACGGACCTTTCGGTCAGTAAACTCGCGCTCTAACCACTTGGGCCATCTCGCCCCAATCTCACCCAACTAGTTCATTTCCACTGTCCCCCCTTAACCAGAAAAATAGCTTGTTGGTGAGCTTGATTTTAGACGCGGACAATGATCACCGAAGTCATCCACCGCGTTGACTGGACTGACTGGGTAGTGTTCGCACGCTTTGAATGGATAGGATACGGGCCAATCTCAAACAATCGGCCTCGGTGTTTCATCAAAACGAACAAACGTCCTGAAACCGAATCATCGAAATTTGTCGTATCTTTTTGCTACGTTTAATGCATGCCATCCTAAGTTCTGACGGGCAGGAAAGTAAGCCGGATGTCTGGATAAAAGCTAGTCACAGAAACACTGAAAACAGCCAAAAAGGGAAGGAGAGAAAAGAGTTAATGTCTGCATACTCAGACATGCGCCTATTTCAGTGCCCCTCGAAGTCAGAAGAACTGTATCAAGAGATTCGTACCAATTAGTAGCTTACATCTGAGGACATAAGGTGCGTGAGAATGCGTAGAAACTTTCGATTCCAGGTGATTGTTCCTGAAAAGCACGCTTTCAAAAACGGTCTGTCAAAGGGCATCTTCATGTTATGAGATTGGTCTTTCGTGGGGAAGTCTAGCAGTATATTCCTGCCGAATTGAAGCGCCAACGGCAGGATCAACCAAGCATATCTGCAAACCCTATCCGACATAAGCTTAGAGCACAACGACAGGAGAGCTAGCCGGGCAGTCCGACTGCCAGAAGACAGCATGTGTATAACTGGGATCGGTTGCGTGCCATATGTTCCAGGGTTTTCAACCACATGCAAGGATAATTGCGTGGGTCTAAACAGGAAGGCGTGAAGACTTCGCAGCACTCAGTTTGAGTGTAGCCGCTTTCACTAACGTACCCAAGCTATGGTGCACTGTAATAACGGCAGTATTTCCTCAGCTCAGTGATGGATGAAAATACCTGAACCCTAGATGAAGTGTGTAATAATAACAAAATAATAATATATATAGTTCAGTTGTAGAACCCTTTCGGTGCCTAACTACCATGCCACCCGAAGGCTGCACGAGGGCTGGGATACTGCCAGGTTGCCCAAGCCTAAACAAGGGAAGTCGAGAGGCAGAGATCGGTCTCGAACCACCGACCTTCCGGTCAGTAAATTCGCGCTCTAAACACTTGGGTCATTTCTCAGCTTGAACCTTCCAAGCTAGCTTTCCCGTCAAAACAATCACCAAGGGCACAAAACATGTATTAAGGTATAAAAGCAGGTCATAAACATATACACAGCGCATCGTTTAGGGGGCGTATGAGGCGACAACATTCTGGAAATTCTGACGCCTTCTGGATGCGTCACTGTCATCCGGCGTCCGGCAGCTATCCGATCATGACTGGTTAATGGGTTCAGACTTTCGACCAATCGGAGCGCCCCTTGATGCTAGACCGGTAAGAGGCCCGACCTTTCGGTGAATCGGAATAGGCTTATCGGCCGTAGCAGCGCCTAATCACGGGTGGCAAAGCGGTTTCCGTGGGGATTCCGCCTAACACCTGTCCCCCAACGAAACTTTCACCAACAATGGGTTGGAAGGGAAAACAACGTTTTCTTGGGTAGATGGTGCTTGGACGTATGCATACCTCACACACGTTGGGTTGATACATTTAATAAGCTGCTCTAATGATGTGCACAAGTAGTCTGACACCTCATTCGAGTAAACACCTTAACGAACCTGGCTCGTTTTCAGCCAGTAACAAACGTTAGTTGGCCGCTTGGGTGTTCCGGTGATGTAAGATATGTCAAGTATGTTCTACCGCATTCTTTACGAACCAGTCAGAACTGCGAACGAATGAAAGAACGCCTGGACGACACTGCGCAGAGCACCGGGTATAACACGACAAGGGAAAGTAGACGGATCGTCAAGAAATAGGAGTAAATACTCACCAACGGGTTTACTCCGTGGACCATGTTCACTACCCTCACGTCTATGAGAGGACGGTCGCTCGGTTGACCGGGCACGCACCGTACCACGTCGAGGGCCAGTACGACGCTGTCGCTTGTCACTAAGAGTGATGTTCCCAGAAACACTTCCAAAAGTTAGGTAGCGACGCTCGTTAGAGTCCGCGGTGGTCGGAGATGCTTGGGTGCTCAATAGCCGCAGAGCATAGGGATTCTGGGTGGGGCGATAGAAAACTGGGATAAAGTCGGTGATGACCATCAAGTGGAGACTAAACTTACCTTCATCCTTAGATGTACCCGAATCAGGCGCGTTCGGCTGGATCATTTTTCCACCCGACATCTGTGAAGGGAAGAGAAAAATACCCAATCAGCTGCGCCTGATACATCCAAATAAATGCACACAATGTTCGAATAAACGTGTGGAAACACGCCGGCATATGGAACAGAAAATTTTTCCAGGGTAGATGTTCAGTTGGGTATCAACCAAACGAACTAGCAATAGCCTAAACAGAGTCCATTCCAATGTGTCAAAGTTGTTTTCCCGTATTCTTTGTTCCCGTAGCGCCATTCTTTGCTCACTACATTTGAAGATAGCAAGCTGTTGAATAAGGTGTCATGAAATTACACGTAATCTGCTAATCCCATCAACACATCCTTCATCTCGACTGCTTGTTTCTCAATGAACTCAACGCTTCCCTGTCGTTTGGCCCAACTACGTTGCTCAGATCTAATGAATCCCCATTCCATTGGGAAATTACTCTGAGGATCGAATTCGAAGCTAATTCTACCAAAACACGGGTGCTTAATTGATAAGTCGAATTTCTCATCAATGCCGCAGGAATCACACCCCGACGAAATAACCAGCTTATTTTGTACAGAAAAGTGATCGGTCACAAAAGGCGGAGTATCCCATTCGTACTTATAGCAATATGAAAGTCCCCACAGAGACAGAAAACCACGGAGAAAGGGATCCTTTAGTCTTTCCGAAGAAGTCAGTCCTCTTCCGGGGGATTCGCACTAAATCGAGACCGATGGGGAGTGACTTGGTGGAATCGGAAGGGCCTCATTCGATAGGGTGCTTTATACGGTTTTTCGTGAAAAAACCCTGATGAGTCGCATTCAACGGGAAATCAACCATCATTGCGTTGTATTCATTACATAATACTCATGAAAGTATACTGTCGGGAACTCGGGAAAAACAAGTGGATTCGATTGCCCTGATGTGGGCAGACACAACCTAGAACATGCGAACGTCACACAGCGCTCAGCTGTAGCACCCTTCCGGTGCCTAGCTGTCATGCCACCCGAAAGAAGCACGAGAGCTGGGTTGCCCAAGCCTAGACAGGGGAAGTCGAGTGGCGGAGGTTGGATTCGAACCACGGACCTTCAGGTCAGTAAATTCGCATTCTAACCACTTGGGCCATCTCGCCCCTTACAACTGAAACGTCATAGCAAAGAAGTCGTCACGGTAGGTGGATAGACATTCAAAATACATATTTTTAGCTTTTTGTCGCACAAAAGTCCGGACCCTAGTGATCGAAGGTCTGTCTGCTTTCAGTGCAGCAGTGTGAGTTTGGTGAAAAACTAGCACTGCCGGGAACAACGGGGCAGATACGTGGAATCAATGAGCTGATGGAAGGCGAAGTTGTCCAACGTCTGTCCAGCTCCATTCTTTGTCCGTGTGGTGAATGAAAACGACCGGAAGCACTATTGAGGCTCGGACCATTGCAACGTAATCTAATGGGAATCACAGAATACGACGTCAGTGGTTGGTGACGTGAAACATGCGGTCCAGATGCGCGATAAATGGTGCTCCGGCAGCAAACCCACGGAATCCGATTGGCAGCTTAGTTAATTACTAGTCATTAGTCAATAATTAGAACTACACCAACGAACTGATCAGGCGTGCTCATTGCTTCGTGCTGTCTTCCTAACTCTCAGTGAAGTTACCGGAACACGTTACGAGGTCTATTGCTAAATTACTAAACTGAGGGGACTCCTTGGAAGGATCAGCTGCATCAACCATGAATCGCAACCAGCATATTCAACATCGCGTGTATCCTTTAGAACAAAAAGTGCAGTTGAATAAGGACTAATCTAACATCAATTTGTATGATTGATTGTTACTGTTTTGGGGTTAAAAAGATCAAGTAACATGGAGGGAAACCAGTCGGAGAGAGTTCGTGTATTGATTAGCCACCCCCATGAGAAAACTATCCAAGGAGAGGCCACTCAGCTGGCACCCCCATTCTGAACAGACGCCACTGTTGTTCAAGGAGCTCAAAGAGCCTCTCTCCATCGTGATCCTTCCATGAGAGAGGGGCGAGATGGACCATGTGGGTAGAGCACGAATTTACTGACCTGAAGGTCCGTGGTTCGAACTCGACTTCCCCTGTCTAGGCTTGGGCAATCTGGCAGTATCTCAGCCCTCGTGCCTCCTTCGTGTGACATGGCAGCTAGGCACCGAAAGGGTGCTACAGCTGAATGATTATTATTATTCTACGTGAGAATGCTGTATGAGGCATGTCCGACACTATTCATCCTCTCACGGGACTCATTTGCCTTAAGATAAGAAAACCACTGTGTGTACATGACAGCCATGTTTCCCCAATTCGCTTGATGGAATGTCATCAGTGGAGGCACTGCTCTGATGGAAATTTCGAACAACGCATGACACTATCCGGCCACAGAAGAGACAACTGAGCCACAGCAACACAACGCGGAGAATACAGAAGCATTTTGAGTGGCAACACGGAGCAACCGCGCGCTCCTTCGGTGAAGGCGAATGATTGCTGGTTCGAGAATACAGCACCAGACACCCTAAATGAATTCCAGGATACATTCCTCGCGGGCGAGGCAGTGCTGTTCGAGATTCAGGTTGGTTCAGCCGGTGGATAAATGAGCAGATCCCATCCTCCGGACCGAGTGAGCTGAGCCTAGATATCTCGGCACCATGCAGAAAATCCATCGGCTGCTCAATCGGACACTCAACCCGAGAACACATTACGACCGCAACGTGGACAGACAGAGTCCTCAAGCCAGTGAAGCCACTCACTGCAAGTGAACCCCCGACTTCTAAGTTACGTAAACGCCCAAGGGGGGAGATGCTAGGCAAAATCCCGCACCAAAATCGTTTTGGCGCCTAACCGGCATGCACTTAGCAAGATTGGGGCGCTCACCTGCCTAGCATCAAGGCGAGCCCAGAAGGTGTGGACCAAACAGCAAATCACAATTCGTTATCCATCGAATGCTGGTCGCCACTGTCAAGTCCAGAAGGCATCGGAATTTCCAGATTGCTATCCACTGGTACACTTTAAACGCAACGCGTTTTGTTCGATCTGGGGTCTAATATACGTTGTGCATGTTTGGCAGTTCTGAGGCGAACGCTAGATTGAAAGGTTGAGGCCGAGAACCAAGAGGAGGCACTACCGTCATTATGACCTACTGCGCCACATTTGTGATCCTG